AGAATTTTTTTGATGGAGGGTGGCGGAGGAAGAAGGTGCGAAGGTGGGTGCCGAAGGGAGTAGCGGCGAAGGGGGTTGTTAAAAATGTTGAGTACGACGGAAAGCAGGACGGGTCATTTTTTTTGCGTTTGGCTTTTGTTTTTTTTTTTTTGCGTTTGGGGGGGTTTTTTGTAATAATTCAGTACATTGCGGATTGTAAATTATTTGGATGGTTGATAATTTTAATCCTAATAAGTCGCTGACATCATATCAACCCAATCCGACGAATGAGATCGATTTGACGATGGTCCTTGAATATTTCTTGGGTATTATTTCTTAGCTACTGTGCCTTTTATTTAAGTATAAGGATAAGGATAAAAAGGATACGTGTGTGGAGGCGTTTACAAATGTCCATGTAGATGTCTATTATTACACTTGTAAATGTCTTCATAGTTTTTTTTTGTCTATTATCACGTTGGAATAGGTCCCGTTGTAAATCAACGTGGTGAAAAAGTGAATCGTGGCTATAGGGTGTTTAATAAGACACTTTTAACGTGGTTTCATAAACTTTTTCTCTTGTAGTGTTTCTTACATATTGTTTAAAATCTTACTTCTAAAAATTTACATTTCGTTTCTCCGGAATAGATTAAACTTCCAAATGCAAGCCACTAAACTTTTTTCCAAATAGATTAAACATTATTCCCTTCCAAATGCAAGCCACACGAAACTTTTAAATTTCTTGACCAACCATAAATTTCATTAATCATCCTAAAATTTTAAAACTGCACTGAAGATATAAATTAGGGTGCACTAAATTTTGAATTTAATGATCACAAATTTCGCACTGCTCCCAACCATTCTTTTATTCAATGGATTAATCTTTTATTTACAGGTTACTAATATTTCTAATTACAATCTTAGTTTTATTTTTTTTCTCACTCGTATTATACTATTTATTTCATCATAACATATGTATATACCGAGCATGTAATTCTCCGCGCAGCGCGCAGAGTATATCTCGGCTAGTAGGTGCCTAATTGAAGAACGAATTGAAGCACTGTTCTTGCGCTCTGAAATGGGGTTTTGATTTGGACAATTAAACCATTTATGTATGCATGGTATATTTGGAAGCTTATGACAAAAAAAAGTTAAGTTTGACCAAAAATAAAATTTTCTAATTTAACTAAAGTGGACAAAAATTATGGGACGGAGGAAGTATTTAGTTTGATTTTTTTTTATTACAATTTAACTTATAAATAATAATTAAAATTGCGCAATTATCTTTGGACATCAAGAGTATTAATTTTTTCTTTCTTTCTTTTACTTCTCCGTCTAGTGATTTGATGATGGTAAAAATGGGAATAACATGGTTTATACTTTATTATTATTGCTTTCCTTGACTTAATACAGTGTCTTAGTTCTTCAATGTGCAATTGTGCATTGTCCTGATTCTACAAGTTGATTGAAAGCTATTATATATACGCACTCTCTCGATGACTGAAATGGATTAGATTTAGGCTCCACTTCGGTTAGATTGAATTGGAAAATTATAATTTTATATAATTGAAAATGAGATATTGAAATTGTGATTCAATTTTATATATATATATATATAGATTTTAAGAATTGACTAACAATTAAGGTTCTAATTCTTGTATATATATAGATTTTAAGAATTGACTAACAATTAAGGTTCTAATTCTTGTGTTTGGATATTTAAAAGTTTCTAAAATTCAGAATTAGTTTGTTATTGAGCAATTATTACATTTTCGACCTATGACATAAATAATTATATTAAAGTTGAAAATAAGAGTGAACCCCCATAATAGTCACGTACATTTGGTTGAATTTAAAATTTCGTCACAAGTATTAACATTTAACTGAAATGATTCCAAATATTGTAATTCGTACCATTTCTTTTTTCCAATTCAATATTCTGTTAACTTTTCCGTTTGATTACCTCGTGTGGGCATTTTTGGTAATATATTTGAAATTTTGAAAAGAATAAAAATTCTTAAATTTTTAGTCGATCAGCCGGGGTATTTTTAATACAAAATCACCAGGGCAACCTGAACTCTGTGATAATTTATCAGCACGTCAATACTATAAAGAAAAAGGTTCTTTAATTAAATAGACGATAAATCATTTACTAAATGATTGATTACAACAATTCAAAAATCTATTAATGACTTAGTAGTTAAGAATGCTTGCCCAGCGCGTTCACTAGTATTGTACAAAGAGGGACGTGAAAAGAGAGTAATAGAACCCAAAAAAATCATCTAAGAAAATTAATTGCATATATTTTTCATTGTCGAATCTAACCACAAAGTTACTAATTTGTAGTTGGTCCTTCGAGCAAGAGTGGGTGTAATTTGAAAATCAATTCCTTTTTCATAGCAGCAATTGTTTTGATGTGTTTAAATAAACTTTCATCAGAAAAAAATCTAAACAACATTGTCAAAATTTTATGCAAAAACAAATATTTTTTCATCTATCAATATAAATTAACTTAAATCTTAGATACTTCATTCTCGGTATTATATGCAGGAAGACACCATGGACGACCAGAACATGTATGCTTCCACCCAATGTATTATATATATCTCTGTGTGTGTGTGCACGCTTGTATGAATCTCCTTCAGATTTCAAGCAAAAACCTACTATAAACAATGATCGATATCCCATTAAATACCCTAAAAGAAGAAAATACTAAATTTGAAAATTTTAAATCCATTAATTCATTTGATTATATCAATAACTAAATTGATATTAACTTTTTTAAGTATAAATTAAGTTTTGGAGTTAATATAAACTAACTTGTTAATATAAATTAGCTTGGATGAATCAAAATGAATCGAGGCTTTGGCTCCATTTGGACAAAAGTTTTAAAAAGATATTTAAGGCTAAAAAGTTTGTTTAGAGTTTAAAATGCGTTTGGACAATATAATTAAAGTCTTTTCTAAACATCAATTTGAAAAAAAGAAGGTTTGAAACAGACTTTTTAGAAAATAGGTATGGGGTATTTTTTAATTTTTTTGAACAGACCTTTTTTCTCAGTTCGCGGGTCGAAATTCGGGTCAAATCCGGGTTATGAAAAAAAACGGGTGATGCATATAAGGGAAAAGTACGTCATTCGCTCACTCTTGCCCTAGATCCGCCGCCCCCTTTTCTCACTCTCTCTCCTTCAGCCGTGCGGCAACCCGGCAACGGCGACGGCGACAGTGACGGCGGTGACTGCAAAACTCCCCCTGACGGCGACGGAGAAGTAGAAAGCGACACCTTGTGCTGGTAATCTTTCTTATTCCCTTTTTTTTTTTTTGATTAGATTAGGTTTAACTTTCAATCACTTCTAATACTTGGATTTACACTCAAATCCTTGTTATTTCAGTAGGGATTTGTGTAAATTTTTTCATGGGTTTCATTTATTGTATTATATTCGAAGTGGGTTTGTTTCCAGTTACCATGGAAACCATTTTTTCGACAGAAGTCTCAGTGGGTTTTTTTTCCGGGTTTCTATATTTGTGTTAGGATTTGTGTGGTATTTAGTGGTTTCTTCTGCTTCGAGTAATGTTTAAGAATGTGGCTTCAATTGCTTCTTGAATTTCATCTTAATTTAAGTGGGTTTTTGGTCTGAAGTTGGTCTGAATTTCATCTTTGTGTTTCTGTTTCCCCCTGGCTCTTTTTTTCCTTCCATTTTTTAACCAGAAAAATTTTGTGTTTCTGTTTGAAATCATTTGAGGAATCCGCTTATGTTTTGCTTTTCTTGCCTGTGATTTGTTGCCATCAACCTTAACTAGGAGAATGCATGGAAGACAGGCATTACCTAATTCTACAGGAACGGTAGTGAATTCGTTCGGTATATTACTAGCTAGCATCAAGTTTTACATTGGTTAACTTTTTCTAGTTTTGACTCTGTAAATGAGTTGATAAATTGCAATGCTTCGAAGTCCAGTTCAATTACAAAGGCCTAGAAATCTTTTAACCTCTCTAACTTGTGTTGTTGCCTCTTTAACTTTTGAAGGAACTGGGAAGGCTGTTGACGGTACTATAAGCTCATGTAGATCTTATTAGTTGATTTTCATTTTTTATAGTTGACAGTCAAGCCGATATAATTTAAAATTCTGAAGTTACAAGTTTTCTGTTTTATGGAATGAGATGTTTCAACTTGTGCATACATTACGTTATTGCTCCTGGTTAGGAAATTAAAAAAAAAAACTTCTTGCTTGGTTCCTTTGAAGATAATACTTTGCTGGAAAATTTATAAAAGGATTGTCAAAACCCTTCAATTTCTAACTCTGATTGTTGCTTCTCTATTTTCTGAAGGAAATCCCAGGCTGATCTTCCCCCTATTAATCCAATAAGATTGTGGCTAATTGAGGTTAAAATAATTACTAGCACTCAATTGTCAGGTTTATATTTGGCTAGATTTAGTGACATGACGGTTAAATGATGGTGCATGATTTCGCTCCTTAAATTCAGTATGTAGAACCCTGGTTGCTTATTGACCCTTTTTATCTTTTTTGCTGCAACTCCTGGAAATCGCCCAAGTTCCTGATGAACATTTAATATTCAGTTTCCCTTGGTTTCTTTATTTTGCTTGACAGAATGCTTTTAAACTGTTAAATTCTTCTATCTTTCTGCACACTTTGAAGAAAACTGAAATATTGACTGTTTTAAGTTTATCACTCTGAAGGTCACGGGACTAGGATGATCAGCATTCCTTTTTTTTAATTAAAAAAAATACTTACATGCTTTATGAAACCATCTTGACCCTGCATCCTGGATGAGAGTATTCCTACTCTCTGCATATGTCTGTAGACACTAGATATTCATTAAAACCTATAGATAATTGCGAAATTGATTTCCAATCTGAAGTTGAATCGTTTGGCTTGCTTTATTGAGAAAATATTAGTTTCCAGAAAATGCAACCACTGGACGTTAGTATTTTTTTCTTGACCTTGCTTTCTTTCATAAAAGTCTCTGGTAGTGATTGTTAATGTTCTCCTTTACTTTGCAGGTAAATGAATTCAAGTCCATTGAGAAGTTCAAAATTTTCAATACCAACAATTTGTGAGTCATTTCTTTGGTTTCTTATTTTGAATGTTGGAAAACAAGATTATAGACCAACTATACTCAATTATTTACTCTTCCTCTTGTTGGATTTTAGACCCTTGCCGAGTTCAAAGAGGAAGAGAACCTGCTGGAAAAAGGAAGAAAGCAGTTGAAGAGGGTAAGATTACTTATGTGGGTCAGTTTTTTTTCTGCAAAGTTTATACTACCATACTAGTTTGTAGTGGTTGATCTTGATCAAATTGTTATGTGATGAATAAGAATAGATGATCATAGTAGCATGATATATATTCATATTTTGAGTATAACAGTTTCAATCCTATGCTTGATTACTACAGGTTTTTATATTCCTCATACACTTCTACTCCTACTACATATATGTATATATATGCTATTGTCTGTAATAAGTAATATAGCTGAACTCATGCTCGTATTCAATAACTAACGGTTGTTCAAATCCTAGTTTATGTTTGATCATAATGAATAACCTTGTTCAAAGAGTGAATTTCTTGTTTATTTGATTACTGTAGCAGTTGCACTAAATTATGATTGACATCAATGTGAGGAGGGCAACAAGGCATGAAAGTTTTGGAAGAGTTTTTAATCAGTTCCTTGTCAAATAATAAGTCTTACAGTAGCTAAATCCCTTTAAATCCTTTAATATCAAGCACAACAATATTGTTTTCTCTAGTCTAGATTGAAGCAGCTTTTGAGCATCCGGTGATGTTTCTGAGAAGCCTCTTTTTTTTTTTGTTGTGAAATCTTTGTGGTAGATGTTTCATATGATAGCCTGGATGATTCAATGTCTGTGCTCATTGTTCGTGAGTAATCTTTTTCTGGCTGAACTTTTTTAGTAGGCATCATATTAGGAATGCAGGCTGCCTTTGATTGCTCAATGTGTTCCGCTGATGTTGACATCGTCTCATCCTTCCGTGACCTTCCCAAATCCCTAAAGCGCATCATCTTAGTCTGAATTCAGGTGTTAGAATAGAGTATGTTTTATTCTTAATTTGGAGACAGATGAAGGGTAACCCTGTAAGATCTGCGATCTTTTGGGCTTAAACATCAGTTGTAAACAACAGAGTCAGATAGAATCATTTGGAGTAGTTACAACATGTTTCAGAATTTCTGCATCTTAAACAGATCTTTAGGAGTAGTTTCAAATCATCATATCAGTCCGAGGTGCTTAGAATTAGAAACATGTTAATGGGATCTTTTTTGTCAGTAGGATTGATGTGATTGAATATAAGTCAAGAATGTGCATTTGGTTAATTTTGAGCTATGCTTTACTATGCTTCAGATGTCAGATATCAGTGAAAGTAGTAATAACAAGTACGGAGTTTCTCGGACTGTTTGGACTGAAGGAGACGTGAAGCTATTTGTTGACTTACTGTTGGAGTATAAAAGGAAGGGCGAAATGAAGGAGAATAACTTTGGCAAGTCTTGGGTCCAAATTACCAAAGATTTTAATGCCAAATTAGAGTATAGGCAAACCCTTGAGCAACTGAGTCAGAAATTTCATCGCTTTAGAATTGACTGGAATGCTTTTAAGGATTTGCAAGAGAAACACACTGGTCTTGGGTGGGATCACCAAAAAGGAACTGTTACAGCTTCTGAAGAACGTTGGAAAGAGTTAATCAAGGTAATAGATCAAACATATCCTGAGTTAATAAACTATTCTACACTTGCACTAATATGTATAACTATATATATTTAAATAGATATTTAAATGGATACTGCAGACAAACAAGAATCACAAGAAATTCCAGCAGAAAGATTTGAATTTAACTGGCACAGACGGGCGAACATTTGTGATTTCAGAAAGATTTTAGCATTCAACAGAGACAGTTAAGCGAAACATTGATGATGTAGTGCAAGCTTTGGTCCGATTCTCATCAGTTATCATTGCACCTCGGAATGAACAAGAGGTACATCCAAGAATAAAAAACAGCACGAAGTTTTATCCTTGGTTCAAGGTAAATGCATGACATTCAGACTTTTCTTTTCAAATTTATCTTTTTTGCAGCTTTTTTTTTCCCCTTTTCCTTTTCTTTTTGGGTTCCTCTGCTTGTAGTTGAATGTATATCATCCTAATTTCTGTAGCTACTTAAGTTTAATTTATGAATGAAAGATAGTGGCCCAAGTATGATTTTGCATCCTAATTTCTGTAGCTACTTAAGGTTTTGCCCTTATTTACTTGTAGATATCTTGAAATTGTTTAACGACCGGCAAGCTGCATTTGCATTTTTTAAGTTGGTTTTTGCATATTCTTCAGAGGTTATGGTCCAGTCTTGTTGTCTTTCTGTGCATTTGTTGTTGTCTGAGAGCTTCAGGTTGACGGCACAGGACTTGCTCTATTGCGTTGTTAGTAGGGTGGGGGATCGTAGGAGTAATGAGGTTGTAGAGTATATGCGCATTTTCCACTATGCTTCTTTCTACCTTAGTGATAAGAGAATTACCTATTTGTGAGATCAAAACCTGTATGTCCTCACCCAGGGAAGTTAGCGGTTGTGGAAGGCTATTGTTCGAAAAATTCAAACTGGCAACTGTAATATTGTCTATTTGAATTACACAAATTTTTGGATTTAGTCCTTTGACTGCCTGTAACCCTCTCAAGCAAGCTATAGCCTCTGTGTGCAGGGCGGAGGATGCATGAAGGGGTTGTACCCCATAGGCTATGCATCTTCTAGTTGCAGAATGAATCTCCCATGCACCCGCTCCTCTTTTTTCTTTGTCGATGTAAGCTCCATTTATTCTGACCATGTAAGTCCAATCACAGGCCTACCGAGTCCTCTAAATATATGTGGAGTTAGGATTACTCCCAAGCTTGTCAGCAATGTGCATTTTGTTTAGGTTGCTACTCAGAGTGGGTGATTATGACAGTGTATGGAAACTAAAGAATTATGGCAGTGTATCATAGATTTTCTTGCCTTACTGTCACTGTTACCATTTTCTTGTTCTGTTGGGAATCGCTTCCATTTTTTCAGAGCTTTCTGTTCTTGGTTTGCCATGGATAATTCATCAGTTACACCACATAATCAGAATTGTCATATTGAATGTTTTCTTCTCTTTTTACCAGGACTGTGTAGGAGCCATAGATGGTTCACATGTGCCTGCGTGGGTACCGACAGAAAAGCAAGCTGTATTTAGAAATAGAAAAGGTGATATAACTCAGAACTTCTTGATGGCATGTGATCACGATATGCGCTTTGTCTTTGTCTATGCCGGTTGGGAAGGCAGTGCACACGATGCTAGAGTTCTACAGACTGCACTTTCAAATGAAGACATCACTTTTACGATGCCTCTTTTAGATAAGTATTATGTGGTTGATTTTGCCTATAAGAATATGCCCGGGTTTATGGCGCCATTTCGAGGTATTCGCTACCATCTGCAAGACTTTTCAGGCCGTGGTCGTGCTCCAAAAAATTCAAAGGAATATTTCAATCATATTCATTCTTCTTTGAGGAATGTGATTGAAAGAACTTTCGGCATACTGAAACGCAAGTTTGCTTTTCTCAAAGGGCCAATGAATAACTATGATTTTAAGAAGCAAGTGAACTTTGTGATTGCTATTTGTGTGGTGCATAATTTTATCAAAGAACTTCAGCTAGAAGATGATATCATCAATGAATTTGCAAACGAAGATTTAATCATGGACGAGGAAGTTGGAAGTGGAGGCAATTTTCAAAGTGAAGTAGAAGAAGTTGATATGTCTACTCCTGCCATAGTCCAATAGAATAACCGGCGAATGATCATAGCAACACAAATGTGGAATACGTGTTAGAGTTTTAAATATTGTGGAATTTGTGTGGATTTTAAAATGTTGTGAATTTATTCCAAGTCTTATGACCTATGTGTTTTTTTTTTTTTTTGAGAGTTGGATGTTTAAAAATCTCACAATAACAATATTTCAAATTTATTATGCATTCGATAGATTAGAATGGTTTTAATATTATGCTTTAATTTAGTCATATAATGGTATATATTTTAAAATGAAACAAAAATGCAATAATAATATGAAAATTTGTGTAAGTTTTCCTTTTATTACAAAAAGAAAAGAAAGGTGCAATAATTATTTTTTGACAAAAAGTGTTTTTGGAAAAGGTCTAATCCAAATGAATTTTTAATATTTTTAACTACAAAAAGCTTTTTGTTAAATTTTTGTCCAAATGGATTTTTTTTCAAAAAGTCTTTTTGAAATTTTGCTCCAAAAAGACTTATTTGAAAAGTTTTTCAAAACACTTGTCCAAATGGAGCCTTTGTAGTTCGGCAAATGAATTTATTGTTTTATTTCAATGTGATTACCGGGCAAAAATAAATAAAAACCATGAAACTAATAAAAAAAATACAATTAAACAATCTAATCAAATATGCATTAATAAGGAAGAGTAAATTCATAATGGAACTGAAAACAAAAAACTACTATCATTGAACAAATACCTATGTGCAAAGATTAGTGTCGAATGAACTAAAAACAAAAAACAAAAATAGTGTAGAATGAAGAACCAAAATTCTTTTTTATTTTTGTTAAACTATTCATTCGAAAAAATAAAAACCTTTGCACATAAATTTTGTATGCAACACTCTGCGTTATTAACAAAAAAAGGTTGGAGTTATTCTCAAACAAAAATTTGTTTTAGATATCATCAAATTATAAAACTGGATCTTAGGGGGAGTTTGGGGGGCGCCTACTGGGTACCGAGTTCAGAGTCCAACGTGGCCTTATTATGTATTCATATTTAAGATGTCTTTGACCAATTCGATATCATAATAGGAGACTAGGAACCAGAACCGACGCTCACAGTGAACATTATGTACATATGAGAAGGAGGTAGAGTAGAATGGACCCTTTCGCCCTTATTTATAGATTGAAGGTTCGAATCTCGCCAGCATAGAATAATTTTAAATACTTTGGTTAGCTGTCTTACCCATTGAAGTGCCAATAATTCAGCGAGGAGGATTAGTCAGTGTTATTAACGGTGGACACTCTGCAAATATAAAAAAAAAAAATTAAAAAAAATGTACATATGAGAAGGAAAAACAGAAGGGTTTTGTAACTTGTTCTTGATGAATGAAAAGTACACTTTACCCCAAGAAAAACCATAATGTACAGTTCGAGGATGCCTATAAAATAAATGAAATCGAGTAACGTTTTGTTCTTCTTCCACAATTGATAATTTATTTTTTATTAGTGGTGATATTTATTTTGTATTATAGTAAAATGTCCATTAGTTTGCCATTGTTATCATCTTTTCCTGAAACATTGTTTGTTCTGTGTCTTATTTATGGGGAAAAAAAAACACTAACAAAGAGACCAGTATTCCAGAAATGGTCTCACGTCGTGGCAAAATATTTTGCAGCATGAGTCAACTCACATATTGTTTTTCAAGAAATTCAGTGAAAAACTTCTGACATTTTAGATCATTCGCGTTGAGCATAACCCAACCGAACTCTACAAGGTAGACTGCGTTATACAATCAAATGGAATGCAGGACCCTCTATATCTTCCTCCGTCTAAATATCGCTGCACCAGCGCCTCCCAGTAACAAATGTCTTTTGGCTCAAGCAGCATTAAAGTTATTGGATTCTTTACAATTTACATCTTTTGGTGCTTCGGATTCCATTTTGAAATTTTAACAGAATGCACCTTTTACGTTTTATCTAGTTCCTTCTTTTTTACTTTTCTTTTCTTGAGTTTTGGCATCTTTGAAAACAAGAAGCCATAAAGTTGATCTATTTCTTGCATTTTTTTTTTCCATAGATTGAAACGGACAAGGAAAAAAAAGAGAGAAAGTGGTAGGATAAGAATGGATATATTTCGTATGCCATTGTCCCGATCGATTAGAATGTTAGTGTAACAGAAACAATAAAAAAAAAAAACTATCAAAATTCTCTGATATAACTTTTTTTTTTTACTAAATTCTGGGTGGGTTGTGTCAAATATGAAATCAACACATTTGTCCTAGACATTTTTTCACAAAAAAATATGCTACTCCATTACATTCACGAAAAAAAATAAGACTAAACTCTAGGACAAATTAAATTGAGTGATAATGCAATGCAGGGAAGTACCTTTTTTATTTTTATTTATTTTTATCAGTACTCAAATATAGCATTAAATTTTGTCAGTCAAAAAAAGCAGGGGGCAAGGGAGGGGGGAAATAGTTGAATGATCACGCATCTGGGAATGGCCCAAATAATGATCACCCTCAGTACTCATTACATCACAGATTCACACAGCAGGGAATAGTCATTTCTTTTGAGCTGTTTGTTTGCGTGTTTGAAGCTCGTGGATTCCTTTTTTTCTCCTCATTTTTAATTAGCTGTATGCCTGTACGTCTGTACGTACGTACATTTCTGTGTGGGTTGGGGAATAAAACTTGTTCATCAAAAAAGAAGAACAATCTTCATCAAAAAAAAAAAAGGGAACAAAACAAAATAGATTAGCTTAGCTTAATTTGGTATCAATAATAGATTTTCTTTTTGATACGATTAATTAGACAAAACCCTCAAAAAATCAAGCAAAACACATCATTGAATGAAGAAATATTGACTGTATTGTGTTTCATTCCGAGTTTGATTTCCTTTAATAAACAAACTAGACGGATTAATACGCATAACCACTTGCCACATTTAGTTAATTAATAGTAAACAGGGGAGACTGAATTCAGTAAGCCGCTGATTTAGGAACACTTTTGTTTTAATTATTTTCTTCTACTTCATCATCTTCTTTTTTTAAAAAAGAAAAGAAATGCATGCAGCTAAATAAAGTCAAGGAACGTTTGTGAATGAGTACAAAAGCTACCAACCAAATATTCCAAAAAAGTGATAAATCTTTTTTCTTTTTTTTTTTGTTTTTGGGTTTGTAGATTGTGCATTTGTAGCCTGTATGGCCGTAATCTCGTCTGTGTTACACTGACTGAGCAATTGACCTCCATTTATTTATTTATTTATCCATCCCATTCATTTTTCAGACCCGTTGCTTTGTTACTACGCTTTTAACTTGTGGTACTTGTCATTTGGCGTTTTCAAATTTGACATTTTGTTAAGTAATTCTAACTTATAATTTGAGCGTATATGTACTTTTGCTTCGAAATGTTTTTCCTAATTCTTCTTCGTCCAATAACTTTCACAAGTGACACAAAATTTTGTCCTGTTGAGAATCGTATGAGGAAAATTTATAGCTCATTTATCGGATGAGAATCAACAACAACACCAATACTATCTATTTATCAACTACGTACTAAAGTGTACTTAAATCTGTTGTTTTGGAAAAAGAAAATAACCACGTAACCAAAAAAAAAAAAGGTAAATACCAAGTAAAGTACTCCTCCTCACTTTGTAAAATGACAAAAAAAAAGTTCCATTTTTTGGCTTCAACATAGTTAATTAGTAATATAACTATGCAAGTATTCTTTCGATTTTTATTATTAATTCAAATTGTTCAAAAATAAAATCACGTACTAAACAATAATTATAAGATAGAAGAAATACTTACGTTACTCATGCATTATTGAAAGAGCTCAATTGCAATATTTCAGCTACGGGTATCCAATTTGAATGAAATGATACCTTCCTCCGTCCCTCTACAAAAAAAAAGAAAAAAAAAAAAAAGGAGGGTTCCAATTTGTAACGATCCATATATAGTCAGCAAAAGATGGCCTTTGCACATTGCACATATAGTATGGACTTTGAAAGCTTTACTTTCGAAAGTTTGAAAATTTTGCACTTTGCACATATAGTATGGACCATTTTATATAGAGCCTAAAACGAATCAGACAAACAGCAGCAAATCCTTAATCTGGTCTGCGGCTCTCTGAGAGCTACTGCTAAAATTGCTTTAAAACAATATTCTATTCAAGTAAATGGACCTATCAACCTCTGCACACTGTCCTGATTTTAATTTGCCTTTACTGCAAAGTTGTATTTTTGTAGTGAAAAGATTTGGAAAAGACATCAAAATGATTTGCTCATTCTGTACAGTAACAGTAAATCCCTCTATCCCTATTAATCAGTTCTGTATATACGCTACAGATAGTGTACTTTTGCATTAAATATTACTAGCTTTTATTTGAAATCCTTTTTCTTGTTCCAAAACCTTTTGTTCTACAGATTGTTTTGTTCAAACTATGTCATCTTCTTCTTAATTTGAACACTTTCTCCTCTGTCAATTACAAGTTCACATTAGTATTTGTACATTACACAGAGTCCCCACTCCCCCCCACCATTCCCCAAACACCATGGTCACTTGTGTCTCTTTTCATTCTTTTTACTTCTTCTCAGCCTAATGCTAAAAAAATTTCACTTGGGTTTTTATATCTCTGAACCCACAGATCCCAACATTCCTAATTCTCTCCAGCATTTATACCACTCAACCATTTTAAGAAACAGAGCTTCAATTTTGTCTGCTGCTGACCAAAAAATGGGATGCTGTTTCAGCTCAAAGAAGCTGTCTTCCCAAGGATCTGACGACAAATGTGGTGGTGCCGGAGGAGGAGGAGCTCCGCCGCGATCACATCCGCCGGTTGAGGAAGAAACTGTCAAAGAAGTCCTCTCTGAGACCCCCATTACCAAACCAGTTCCTCCTCCTCCTCCTAAAGCGGTGGTAAACGACAAAATTAGCCGTTACGAAGTGCCGGAAACTCAAGAATTGAAAATCGAAGTTCTGGAAATCGAGCCTACCATTACTACTCCGGCGGCGGCTGATGTAAGAGTGGCTAAGGAGGAATTGAAGACGGCGGTGATTAGGCCAGCTGAAGATGTCGTTTCTGAAGTGTCAGAGTATGAGAATTCCGAGCTCTGTAGTGTCACCGAGAGTTTCTCGACGACGACGACGGCGACGGTGAACGGAATGGAGAAGAGGGTCGATGACGGAGAGGAAGTCACTCAGCGTCAGCGATCCCCTGTCCGGGCTCGCCGGAAAAGGCCTAATGTGGGGGACATGACTGGAGGCAGGGAGAGAGGTGCTAGATCGCCGGCGAGACGAGCTCTGCCATCGCCGGAGAGTAAAAAGCCGGTCGCTTCCTTGAGGCAAGTTCAGGGGAGGTCAACAATGGGTTCTCAACGGAGAAATGTAGGAACCGGGGCGCCCAATAATGGTACTCTCCGGCGAGACTCTAGTACTGGGGGTTCCGCCCGGCGATCGAGGTCTCCGGCAACACGTGGTGGTCAAGTGGGTTCCCGTCAGAATGCGAGGTACCGGAGCCCAGGTCGGAGTGAAAATGGTAGGTCCGCCGGTGGCTGGTCGCCGGCGAGGGCTTTAGATAACGGTGTGAAGGTAGACAGAAGCAGCAGCGACATGGTTTCGCCGGAAAGTAGTACATTGGACTTGGAGAAGCCAAACGACAGCGTTTTGGATGAGACGGCTGAGTCGTTGGAGAATCCGCTGGTTTCATTAGAGTGCTTCATCTTTCTCTAAATAAAAAAATTTTGTGCGTTGGGCCAATTTTAACCATGTCAATTTCAGTCGGTACCACCTTAACTCCATTTTATCTCTTTTTTCCTTTTGGTTGCAAATTTAATTGGTGTAAATATAATCAGTTTCATTTTTATGTCACTTACAACGTCGACTTGTTCTTGAAAGATCTGGATCAAGAAACAGGGAAAAAAAAAAAAGAAAAGAAAAAGAAGTCATAAATTAGTGTACATTTTCAATCCTATTTTAGAGTTGTTTTCTAAACTTCCCATGAACATGAACACTTCATTTAGGATAAAAGTACTCCCGAGTTGCCAAATAGTTAAGTACCGGTACATAAGTTTACGAACTTAATTAGTATATATTACTTCATCGCCATATGATGCCAATTGTACAGAGCAATGTAATTTTTTTCTTTCACTCACTAAAGGCTGGAAACTTGTAATTGCATGAAAATCCACCAAAAAGAAGCGAAACTAGTGCAACTTTTTGCGTGGAATTTTGAAACGCGCATGCAAACCTGCCAAAAGGGATGGAAAAATTCTTATTGCTGTAAACAAAAAAAAAAAAAAAAGGAAGCGTGAAGAGACAATACGTTAAGATGGCAATCCCTATACTCCTTCCTGTTGATGAGATAAGTGATTAGAAGAAGTTGGGACAATGGTGTTGGGAAACCACCTCTTATGTTCCCCCTTTGGGATGAAAGAAAGGTGTATAATGGTGTCATGGGATTAATAAGAGAGGACAACATATTCTTCACTTCCCCCTTTGTATAGTCTTGTTCTCTTCACGAGTTCCACCATGTGGAGATGGGGATTCAGTTGCCCCCAACCCATAATTGAAACTTGTAAAAAGAAAGAAAAAGGTTTGACATGTAAACCACAAAATTCCTATACTTTTTCGCTTCTTTCACTGTTAATCCGTGAAATGTAACTTGATGTAGTTAGTATTTTGCGTCAATCCAACCTGTATAAAGAAAATTCAATTTCTAAGTTTAAGTAATCTTGTTTAGAAAACAGGTTGATACATACAGAGTACAGGATGGTTTTGGCAGCTTAATTTTACCGTTTCATTAGCAATTGGATTAGATTCATACGTTTAATTTTTGTTGTTCTGTGCATAAAATGTTGATCAAAGTGTGTAAAAAAAATCTCTCACAATTATAAAATATACTAGGTATCTTTTGTCCTTTGTACAAATATATAGTAACTGAAAATTTTATAACAATCATGTAAAAAAAAATAATAATAAAGAAAGAATATATAGCCTGAATTAATTTGCCCTGGTTGCTTTGACCAGGGCAGGACAGGAAGAAATATGTGTGATTATCTATGTTTGAATTTTACTAATAATTTAAAATTTTTATTCACAGTGTTTTTTTTTAACACATATTGTAGGGTGTCCATAATAGTGATTCATCCCACCGCCGATGAGAGGTGCCTAAATAAGTACAGGTAAGATAACCAAAGGATTTAAGATTGTTGTATACTCATGATGAGATTCAAACTCTCGACTTATGATTAAGAATGGAGAAGTCTTTAACTACTATGTTTAAACATTTAACCATTATGATTTTACTTATAGATTTGTACTTTGATGCCTAAATCTTAAAGTACTAAAGCCGGTAAATTTTCAAATTGTTTGGTTATATTTATACTGAAATAATATATTCTTATACTTTGTTTCTAATCCTACACTAACATCATCAAACTGATAGGAATAGTTTAAAATTTAATCAGGCATTATTCGATATTTAGAAATTGTGCTAATTTTGTATTTTGGTGAAACTTTTTATTTTCAATTTTTATGGTGTTCTCTTAATTTGAACTATATGTTTTTTTCATTGAAGAATAATATAAGTAATAATTCAAAGTAGAAACTAAGACTATTAATTAAGCAATAAATATTACAAAATAAATACAACCAGAAAACCAACAAAAAAAAAGACAAATAAATTCCATAATATGTTAAGTAAATATTACCCACTGTAAACAAGGAAAAGTTATTTTGCCAATGGTTATATGTCTGGTTTATTATACGGCCACTTGTCCAATGGTTATAAATGATTTCTATTATTTAGCTAAAAGGACCAAAAAAGAAAAAACGAAAAAAAGGCCCTCGACGACCAACGAAACACCTCTCAGTTGTGCTTTATATATAGGAATGGATTTTAAAAAATTCACCAAAAATTTGTCAAAACACTAAAGAAATTAGTATTAATATCGAAAGGACCCTCGAGATTTAGTGGATTATCTAAAGTTATCCTATTGTTTGAAATAAAAAAAAATAAATAAAAAAGATTCTTAAATCGACAAGTCAATCAAAAGAGTTCTCCGACAAATAAAAAGTAAAATTGCAAATAAAATCAGCAAAAAAAAGTGTCAAAATGTTTAAATCCCATAAATCCTCCATTTTTTTTTTTCCGAAACTTTAATAAGATAAAATATCTAAATATAAATTCAAAATTCACTTTTTACAAGCACCTGATGCTCTAGAGGTGGTTGTTTTAGGGGGTTTGGAAGATTGTTGGGGTAAAAACATATTTTTGGCACTCTTTTTTTTGTTGATTTCATATGTATACATCAATTTCTAGTTGAAGAACCTTTTGATACTTGACTGCTAATTAAGGGATGGTATTGAAATTTTTTCAAATAATAAGAGTATTTTAGATAATTAAATCTCGAGAGTGTTTTTAATATTTATCCAAGAGAACGTGATTTTTTGTTATTATTTTACAAAATAAAAAGAAAAGAAATCACTAAAATCATACCCAAAAAATAAATACAGTATTAATGTGTAGATATGGACCACATTATATGACGTTGGGTGTCAAAAGATTAGAATGGAAATGTCAAGAGGCAAAAAGATTTTTTTCCCGGAGAAAAAAATTTTTTTTGTTCAAATATGAAGTACCAGGTATCAAGTTTGGCCTAAACCTTATCATTCAGCACCTACGTGAGAAGTATTTCAAAACTAATGTGAACTGTCAACTAAAGTGACCCGACAAGACAATCTTTTCCGGGTTTCATCTGCTAGTAAATTAAAATGATCCATCTACATGTTTAATGGTTATGCAGGGGTATGAGCCTGTGTTTTCAACATATATATTTTCATGTGAAAGACAAGAAATATCCGTCAATAATCCAGGTGTTTTCTTGAGCTTTCTAGGTTGCATTTGCATCTGGTTTCGCTAATTAGGCAGGTTGTGAATTGAAGGGTTTGAGGAGCTCGAGGAGGGATGAGAGAATGTAGTTCGGTGATGCCGGGGCGGTTCAACACCCTCCGGAGGGCATGGCGCTGGAGCAGGGTGAGCAATGTAGGTTGGGATTTCTTCTCCAGGCATCAACACTGATACACCTCGAGCATAAACAGTCATCTGCAGGTGAAGATCATGTCAATTAGCTGATCCATTCCACACACTTAAATTTAAAAAGGTTGAATACATAAGCAAATAAAAAAACAATGTGAAAGATGAAATGATGGAGTTAAACAGTTGGAATGTAGCTAATGGTAGCCAAAATGATCATAACTGAGAGCATGATTTAGGGATCGTGTTAGTTTCAATTCACAAAGAAATGCAGAAAAAGAGAAGGAAGTGGAAGATATAATGCCAGGGAGATAACTGCAGAGGGATTCTTTTCCTCCAAATGTAACACATAATTTTCCATACTCAGATCTTCATTCCTGAGCTAAAGCAGCTGATCTTCCCTAAGGCAAAAACTAGAGGACAACATTTTGTCATTGATGCTTTACGTGATGAAATGTTTACCAACTAACTCTCTTCCATGTATAGAAGCTACAACTGATTCAAACAAATTCAGGGCCCTTGCTGTCATAAGAATGGAAATTACTTTCTGAGGAGAATGTTAGTCATGCACCAGATCACGCAAGTACAAAGGAAAAGCAAATTGTCATGTGTAGGTCTCACTTAGCAAAACACAGGAATTAAAAGGAAAAGACACCAGCTCTCAACTCTTATCCGCCTTACAAACAAGTAACTATGAGAAGCTCATATAAGTTGCACTATAATGAAGGAAATTATATTCTCCAAAAGATGGAGGATTTCACAGGACACTCTTGAAGCCTTTACAAGATTGGATATACGGTCTAACTTATTTGGAATCCGCTCAACTTGGCTACTGAACTAATTTCGTTTGATTGCTAAACTATTTCATCCATAGGACATTGTTAATAAATGTGGTCTCTCAACATGAACAGAGCAGAGATGTAAAGTCTAAAGAAAGGTGTAATAGTATAATGAGGGAATCAGAAAGCTGACAACTTTGGAAAAAAGAATGCATGTTTATAATTGGAAAAGCAGAACAGATATTTACTAATTAGAACCATCTCATATGATGGCACTATGAAGGCTTTTGCACAATTTAATATATTTTTCAGGTTACTTTTTTCATTTTTAAACCAAATTAATTGGGGATACATTAGGGAGGATAAGAAAAAGAACAAAATGAATTGAAACTAGTAATATTCTGAAATGCAGTGCACAAAAACTCCAAAACCTCCCACTCATCATCCATGTAGATTATGGAATATTAGGTCAGCACAAATACAGCCAGAACAAATTACAAACTATACTTTACAGCAAAATCAATCATACGCTGGATCCCTGAAAAATGACATTTATCCTGGCAAGATATCAATGGGGAGTGGTCGTCTAACAACCGTAATTACCAGCCCGGAATCTAGAGAAATACCAACTTAGCATTGTGTTAGAAAGGCTAGTGTTAAATCTCAACGCAGAGTGAAATATGGAATGAATGGGACCCTAATATCAACTTCCTTGTCTGTTGGTTGTTTACACTTTATAACTGAAAATCACATAAAATGAAAAGTTAATTTGTTCTTACTTTGGCTTTGCATCCTATAAAGCCTATAATTGTTCAAGTATAAGTGTGATATGTAAGAATGGAATCTGCTGAAAATAATGGCATTTCATGAGGGCCAGAAAGTTAGGCTATTAAAACAAACCACAATTTCCAAAAGGTTACCACAGTAAATTTTGATTTGAAGAGAGAACAAATTTTACTTGTCCACACTAAAATGTTAATAACACTTCAATCAACATTCTGGAATATATTACTGAAATCAAACCGAAACTGTCACCGAAAGAGATCATGATTAGGATCATTCACAGACATTTTTCACTTGCGTTTAGGCTATGATTAGACTAAGACAGACCAATTAACTTTTATTACAAAGTAAACAGTTCTACTCATTGCATCTTGACACATTTTCTGGGGTGGGGGATGTAATTGATCATTCACAAAAGAAAAAAAGGGGTCCAAATCAACTTTGCATATAATTCAAAGTAACCACAAATAAAAGAAGAATCCATTCCAACATTCCACAACTGTTAACTGCAAAAAACCATTCATAAGCTTTCATTGCCTATCCATTCTTTTTATAAAGGAAATGTATGATCAAGAAAGTATGAATAGTTTTCATTGTTCAGTAAGCACAGCAATGAACGAAAGCTAAACCTCCTAAAGGACATCCTTGATCAATATCTTTACAAGTTTACAAACATTATCCTACTTCCAAAACGTTAAAAGAACAATAATTATAGTCAACACGAAAAAAATGCACAAGTAACTGCCGTGATTAGAGCAAGAAAAGGGAAAATGTCATTATAATACAAGCCAACTTTACGCAACATTCATTAAAATCTAAAAGGAAATTAAGGGAATGCAATTATCATTGTCTCATTAGGCCAAAAAAATGATTCTCATTTACCCAAGAATACAATATTTCCAAAGTCACCGTGCTCGACCAATTAACTTTCAACATACTCCAAAATGAAAATGGTAATTATTGGACTATCACAGGCACACGCATTTGTATCATGAGAGAAAAATAGATTAAAACGAAAAAAAGAAAAGATAAACATACTTTGGGAGAAGGATAATCGAGTTTCCCATGGACCCTCATCTGAGCCTCAAGATCGGAACGATTCCGGCCACTCTCCGAGGAGTGTGTTTGCCGGAGAAGCCTCTCGAAAATGGCCATAACAAGGAACATTGAGATTAAAATAGCTGTGGCGACAAAACCGAAAGAAACTGCATTCACGGAATTATCAAAACTCCTCCAATGGTCATCACTTTCCATTCCGGAGCTGCCACCACCAGTGCTCCCCGCTGGAGCTATACTTGCCATTGCTAATTCTGTCCAACTTTCCATTAGGCCGTACAAATCCAGTTCAAAGACACCCCTTTTTCTCTCATGAATTATTTATAAACAAAAAGGTTAGGACGAAGCCATTCACCACGAATGATGAAAAGGGTCGGCCATTTTTATAGAGAAAAAGAAAAAAAGGTGGTGAAAAACAGAGAAACACCCAGTTTTGCTTCTTTCAGAGGGGAGTTTTGGTCAAGCCTTGGGTGGTGGAAAAATGGAGAAATTTTTGGGTGAGGAAGAGTGACTGTGAGGGAGGATGAAGGTTTATGGATTGAAGAGAAGGGAGGGGTAACTTTCAAGGTTATTAGGCCAATAAGAAAGAAATCTGAATTCAACAGAGCAGAGATGGCAGAGAAACAGGGGGACTTCAGGAGAGTGTGCTTCGGGATGGGGTAAGAGAGATTTTACTAATCATTTTTCTTGGTCTCTGTTTAACTATTTTAGAAGTAATTCATAAAGCTATAACGTTTTTTTGGCTAATTTTTCATAAGCATTTTTACTCTTTATTGGACTCCTAATTGGGTGGTTAAACAACTTTAAAATCTTCAATTTCAAATCTTCATCAATGAATATATATTGAGAACACATTTTTTTTCTTCTAAATATCAAGTTTACCCTTTCTATTAAGAATTTAAGATATTTGTCATATTTGTCCTCTTTTTTTCTTTTTTTTTCTTTTCCTCTTTTTTTCCCGCTCTACTTATTTGTGATTAATGGTTAAAAATTTCCAACCACACCATTTAAATTCCAATTCCATTAAGTTTTTGAAAAATATATTTTTAAAAAGTACGTTCACCTCTTGTCCTTGGCTAACATAAAAAAAAATAATAATTCAAATATAATGCTAAGAGAATTGGCCTACAAAACAAATGCTATAAAGAGTTCATCTCCAAATGGATCATCCGAAAGTTAGGGAGTATGTTATAACGTCATAATATCCTAGCAATAAATAAGTTTGTCATATATTATAACAAATCAGGAGTATGTTACATCGTAATATTATGACAAAAAAATTTATTGCTTGATGTCTAACCTTGTAACATTGATGAATATCAATTCATTTTCACGAATATTAAAAATAATTGGATACATACTGTTCAAATATTTATACATTAATAATTTAACTAACAACAAAATTAGGAAATGTGATAACCATATCGTGTTTAGCGTTTCAAAGTGTAAAATATATGGCACCAGAAACATGAATATTGTTAGTATTCAGTTTTCTTTTTAAGCAATTTAGGACGGTATCTGTCGAGCACTTCCGATTTTATTAATTTTTTTTAAAAAGTAAATAGACAGTGCTTAAAACTTATCATATTAAAACATTTATCTAAGAGACTATATCACGTGATTTTTTTTAAAAATCACAAGACTACTCTGTGAATTACTATATTTTTACAATTCCTATTAACTATCTCATATGGAGATATAAAAAAGAAATATGATTTGAATTTGAAATGCCTCTAATTAAACCCGTAAATCAAAATAAAGTTCAGATGTCTTTGTTAAACCCACTTACCCAAGCTTTGATTGACTGTCAACTACACTATTTACCTCTATGAAGATATGGAGAATTTTGGACTCTGTATGAATTAGTATCCTCTAAATGTGATTTAGATGATCATGAATCATGATGCCTCTAAGAAAAATTTCTTTCATTCTGAACGAATTTAACAATTGACTTATTATCTTTTTACACCTTTATCTTTCTGAGTACTCGCACTTTGCAAGCTTTAAACCCACGACATATTCCTTCAACCTTACCATCTAACCTATGGTTCACTTCAATGTATTTGCATTCAACCACACTAAAAATACATCACAAAATCCCATTCCCGCTTCTCCATATTGCCTTAAAACTAATCCGTCAGTGTTCAAAATTATTTCTCCTAGATCCTGTAGTTTCTAGCATGCACGGATAACTTTCTTAATTGAAAGCTCCAAGATCTTTATTTTAAAACTACTCTATAATTCTTTTGCATTTTTTAAAAACTAGATGGTGGCACTATTTATGTTTTTGGTGTTGTATAATAATATTTAACTTTTGGTTCCAAATGAATATAGTAACTTTGTGGTACTTCATGTACAATTAACAGTAACCAGTTCTTATATGGATACAAATACCCTTTGGTCAACTGACATATATGATAAAACGGTTGACTGTTTAGTTTTTTACCAAAATCCTAACGGAAAACAAAATGGTAATACTATTTATATTTCTGGTGTCATATTGTAACATTTTATATTATTAATATCAAATGAATATAGTAAGCAACTTTGCGATAATTTATGTGTAATTAATTGCAAAATATAATTAAGACAGCAAATTGAGTTTTGCTATTTCTTAAGAAAAAAAAGAAAAGAAAAAAGAAGAAACTTGAAAAAATTGAGGGGAATAAAGACGGGTGTGTGTGTGTGTGTCAGCGGGGCTTGTGGACATGTGGGTATAATAAGATGATGGACTTGGAAGGACCACAACTAAAACCCGTGCAATTAGTATATTACGATAACAGGCCCTCACGTGATTTGGGTTGGATTTTCTTTGCAGGCCCCAACTCCCCCGTTATCTATCTCTTTCTTTTCGCTGCTTTTCATGTTCTTTTCCTCTTTTGACAACGTACGTATGCCGTTGTCTGATTCTTCCCCCCACTCGTGTGGTCCTCAAGTCCCAACCCACAAAAATGATTCCTCGTAGCAGAAATGCTTACTACGGTATCTTTTCCCTTTGTAACTGTTGGGAATTTTCAATATTACAAATTTTTAGTTACATAATAAATTTTGAAATTACAAAAAATTAATTTTGTAGAGAAATATAGTTTAATAATTCAGTTGTGAGTGCATTAATCTAAGCTTCTAATGGTTTAAGATCGATACTGATATGATGCTCTTAGACAGAATTTTTATCATTGAATATTTGAAAAATAATTATTGCTCGAAGATGTCCATATTAAAATATGCCGTTTATATCTAGCATTAGATAGTTTAACCTTCTTTTTTTTCCTCAAAAAAGGATAATTTCCTTAAACTATTGAGTTAGTTTCGACCAAATTAGATTCCTATATGTTGTATGAAATTTCATAGGAATAAATATAACTTAAGTTCCACCCAATTCTAAGTACTGAAGGATAAATTTGATAACGACTTATTAATCTCAAAAAAAGGATAAGCAAGCCTAAACTGGGGTACATTCGTATTTGATAGTATTGTTTATATGATGGTAGTCAAGTATGCTTATAGTTAAGTTAGCATTATTGGGAAAATTGGGAACGAACATTTTGACTATATAAAACATGCATTACTATTGAATGAGCGCAAGGAACATTATCTCTTCCAAATTTTTTTAGTATAAGCTGCTTTTACTCGGAAATTACGTTGGATACACCATAATTCACGAGGAGTTTAATCTGTATTTTCTGGAACAGGTTGACCTTACCTAAATTAGTATAAGTCCGTGAAAATGATACCCATAATTCTTTCATTTTTTTTTTTAGTATTTGGTTAACAAAATGACATATATAGTTAATCACACATTACAATTTTTATCCACAAGTTTGTATTATCCTCATCAAAAATTGTTTGTCGGTCCTTCCAATGTTAATCAGACACTCACCTGTGATGTTACCAAAGAAGTGAAACTCTCTATGCTTAAGATGGATTCTTGATGATTAAAGCCCTCGAAGGCCAAACTAAGTGTACTAAAACAAAAGAAAAATTAAGAAGGAGATAATGCACATTGTTAAAAAAAAAAATATTGAGATAGCCATTTTCTTGGACAAACAAGAAAGCAAACATAAATCTAATAGTAATTGATATCACATTACAAGAACGTGCCACCACAATAACATCACGAATCCACTCCAAGTTCACAGAAGAGGATAATGTTCCCAATTTCGCATACCCACTTTTTTTTTCTTTTTTTTTTTTTTATTATTTGAGGCGAATCTAATTGCCCGCAATTCTGCATAATTCTTTCATACTCGCCACTGAAAGAGAACATCTAAACTGGACAATAATTTTAGGAACTTGTAGACTTGCTACGACAAAACCAACTAGTTTCGACACAACATTTCCTTCAAACTCTGGATGAACTCGTGATGATTGGACGCTAGATATATATATATATATATATATATATATATATCCTATTTTACAATCTTCTTCATAATTCTGCACCATTATAACTGATGTGCTTACGCAAATAGAAGACTTTTAATTTATGATGAATCAATAATCCTGTTGAACCACACAAGAGTGACAAGAAATCTCCTTCTCCTCGCCCTCTTCTTCAATGGGCTCAAAGCTTTTCCATCCAAATCCATTCTCAGACGTATCAAACACATGGACTTCAGTTCTTATCCTGGAAATCTCCCCTGGAATCTTATACCCAGCCAAGAAGTACAAATGCGTACCCACCGGAGCCATTGTCAAATACAACCTTCTCCAAGGACAATACAACAGATTCTCCAGAGTTGACCCTTTGACTATATCCCACATATTCAAATTCCGGTCATAAACTTCAAGATGACCTTTCCAGGCATTCAAACAATCCCCTGAACTGAACAGGGAATTGTTCACACAAACAATTTGGTTCGGGGGGATATCCAATTTCCACATCATTGCCTTATAATCCCACCTCTGCATCTGACAATCAAAAACCTCAGCTGAACTTCTTTCCATATTAAACGGTCCAGGACTACTATCAATCTCGCTGTCATCTTTCTCGGCGAAACCTCCGACCACCAGGACTTTCCCCTGATATGTTACTCCCACACATTTGTACCTTAACGAACTCATCCTAGGCAAGAAGCTCCACCGGTCGAGAATCGGGTCGTATACCTCGGCCGACGAGATCCCTTTTGCGCTTCCCAGCGTGCTCTGCCCGCCGGCGATGAAAATCTTATTCTTGCAAACGGTGCAGGCGAAATCGAACCGGGCCACGTTCATCGGGGCGGCTTTCATCCACGTGTCGCGGTACACGTCGTATTTCAGCACGCTCTGGAGGATCCCGACGTCCGTTTCCTCCACGGCGACGCCATCGTCGTCATCGGGCGGCGGGTCGTCGCGGGTTCTTTTCTTCAGGCAGAGGCGGCCGCCGATGATGTAGATGAAGTCTCCGATGGAGACCATGGAGAATCCTTTGAGCACGTGGTTTTCGGGTAGACCCGGAATGGACGTGACCCTGTGCCACGACTTGTTGGAAGGATTGAAACATTCGATCCAGTTGGATACGTCCGAATTGGAATTCGGATCTTTACAGCAAAAGGGTACATAAATCCTATGATTATTCTTGGATTCTTTGAAAAATCTAGTTGGAATCGTACCCATAGTCAAATAAGCAAGGGGAAAAAAAAGGCGAAAAAAGGAGAGTGCCAATGTGGAATAAAATTTTGAACGGGAAACGGGAATTGTTTACGTGTTACGGACATGAATTTATACTCAAGAGTAACGGAGAGTACGAGGTAGTGTTGAAAATGTAGTAATAATTTCTTTTTAGTATTTATCGAAATGGAAGAGGATTGATTATTGCATTAGTAAGTATCATCAATGTTGGTTAAGATATGAAGGAGCTGAATCCTATGTTTTCCTTGTTACACTGATCATATGCCTTAGGGTTGTTTTATTTACTAACTTTCTTAATGGATTAGAATGAATGGGGGGTGAATTTAACGAAATGATCTTTTTGTCCCTTTTTGGGCTACTAATGATCATGCTTATATTAATATAGTTTCATTAAAAGTAAATTTATACTTTTTGTGGTAAATAAAATATTTCATCCTTCTTAAAATTATTATCCACTTTGAATTTTCAGTTTTAATACAATACTAAAAATAACTGAAAATCCAAACTCGATAATAATTTGAGCACGAGGGAATACTAACTTTCAATCAACTTATATTGTTGATGAGACACAATTAGCATAAAACCAATCAACCAAAACTTTCACAACGCTCGAAAAGTCGAAGTATAGGTTGAGGTATTTCAAGTTTCTTTTCCTAGTTTGGTAATGCCAAGAACTTCAGTCTTCTTCTTGTTAGATGCAATAGTTTACAAATTACATTGAAATGTAAAATCGTCACGAAAGTGGTAAAAAGTTTGAGATACATAACTTTGAATATTTCATTTTTCGTTGAGTTACTCAAATTTTCAATTTTAATATTCTGGTGTTTTTTTTTTTCCCGTAATTTTTGTTGGCAACCGAAGAAACATATGCTGGGATACACTTCTTCTCTTCGAGATGTGCACTTGGGCGTGTTTTGCACCCAATCCCAATTAATGAATTGTGTGTACATCATTTGTCCCATTTTAATTAAATGTATTTTATTACATTATTTTAATTCAACATAATAAAATGTCAGAGAAAAGAGTAAAAAGATAAAGAAGTGCAGACTGCAGTGTATAACATTTCTTCAAAGAAATCCAAAAGGACATACCAACTTCATGAACCACGGTAATTAAGTTGCATGCTTTGGAGAACTATTTATCTTATGAATCTCCATGAGCTGAAATAGTTTTTGTTTCTTTACATTACCTAGTTTACTATACTAAAAATTTCATTCTTTACGTAATAAAATTCCAATCTTTTTGGTAGGTACAGACTCCATTATCGACACATTCTTCCCAGGGAATCTAACCGTAGTTTCCTAACAACGTTAAAATTTGTTTTTTTAAAAATTAAGTAATCCTTCTGTCCCAAAATTATTGTCAGTATGGATTTTCAGTTATAATACAAATTTTATCAAAATTAAAATTTCAAACTGGGCAATAAACTTTTTTTTTGTAGAGAATAAAATTGGATAATAATTTTAGAACACAAATATATTCCCATTAATTTTGATCGTAAACTGAATATGATCAGAATTATCGTCCACATTCAAGATCACAAAACTCCAACAAGACCCCCGGCCCCTAGGTCATGTCTATTAGACCAGACCAATTAAAAGTAAGATCCAAGATATTACTCATCAAAATATAGTGGAAAAAAAATCTTGCCTGTCTTTCCTAAGAGGAATATACACACTTCAGGAAACCTTCCTAGATGAAAAGCCCAATGCACAATCTACAAGAAATCCTTACTAAAAGCAGAAAAAGTTGTAGAACATTTTTGGCACTCTAGAAATGAAAATTAGTAAAAGAAAAAAAGAAAGAAAGAAAAATCGGGCCTCGCATCGAGTTTAAACATACATCCGGCGCCATATCATAGGGTAAGCACTCCTGCCTAACCTTAGGATGAAGTATTTTTTCAGCTAGTTGTGATGGTACTGATATGAAGAAACCACTATATCTATCGAGCATAATTATTCGTGCAGGAAAATTTTAGTGAAAATTTTGACCGAGAGTGAATCATAACCATTCATATTTATACAAGAGTAATGATACATCAATCATCTAATTTATGCCTTAACCTTAAATATTTAAATCTAAAATAGAAAGTGTTAAAAATGAATGACTATGATCAATTTCTTTCATTTTTCTTCGTCAATTTTTCCCTGTACGTATCATTATCTTTCGTACATTTCATGTAGAAGTTTATCCCCTTAAGGTTTAGGGGTTATGTATGTAATTAAGATTTAGCCACTTTATTTCTTGTGCATCTATATATCATGACATGTGAATCTATATATCTATCTATATAGGATTTATAGGATTTGATCCTATGTAGTAATTTTGTAAACATTTTCACTTTAAAAAATGAAGAAAAAAAAATACAAGATCTTCAATGTGATTACGGAATCAGATCTTAACAAAGAAGTTAACAAACAGCAGATTTGTAGTTTGAATAATGTGGAAATTCTTTAATTTTTTGGTTTAAAAAATTTCAAAAATAATTACCCAGATTCGGTATAGCTGGAGTCACTCATCATGAAAATTCATTCAATCAGATCTTGAAAGATCTCTCTATATCCCAACCGTGAATCAAATCTGAAATCAAATTAAAAAGTCTCTCGATCCTTTCTTCTCAATCTTCTTATGGAAGGGAAAATCAAAATTTTTGGGGTTGAGAGTTCAGACCAATGATAAGGAGAGGATGACGGGAGCAGTGAGGAGGAAAGAATATTGGTGGGAGGGAAGGTGAGGACGAAAGATGTCGCAAGCGGCTCTCATTGTAAGGCGGGACGAATGGAACTAAAATGAAGGTGGCTTTTTCGGCGGTGCCGATGTTGGAAGGCTAAGATTGAGATCCTTGTAGATGAAGGGCATGAGCGGAGGGATGATCGGACATCATTTTATGATTCTGGGTCGGAAGGGGAGTTGGTTGGAGGTGGTAATGTATTGTTGAATTCTTATTATGAAGAAAAGTAGATAATTGATGATCTAAAAGCTGCAGAATTGGTTGAGATAAAGGCATTGGTGCAGAAGAAGCTGGAAGTGCAGAATCATGTGTTGGAATTCCAGAAGTTAATGCAAATGCTACAGAAGAATATCATAAAGATGAGAATAGTTTTGACTCTCCTGGTTGTGGTGATGAAGAAATATCAAGTGTTCTTTTCTTTTTGTATGTGTGCATTTAGGTTGTAGATTCAAAGTACGCATTTGAAGCCAAAACAATTCAGAAAAATGAGAAAATGGAGCTCTTGATTCTATCCACACTGAAATGGAGGATGAATCCTGTGACCCCATTATCATTTCTTGATCGGGCTTTTTCCCAAAAAAATTAATTAAAATAAACGTGGATAAATTTAAATTTTTCAGAATATTTGTGGACAGAATTATATTCCTCGGATTTCCGAAATCCGAGTTTCGATTAAAATTAAAGATTTGGATTTCAGAAATCCGAGACTATATTTAATAATAAAATAATAATTAAATAAATTTTGTTGAATAATAATTTTTAAAAATTCTTAAATGAACAGTGCCGTTCGAATTTGCGGAAACCGAATTTAATTAAAAAATAATAAATTGAGGCGCGAAATATTTAAACTCAAATAAGGAGTCCAAGATCTAGAGTCCCTAAATAAACAGTAGTACTCAGATTTACAAAATCTGAGTTCGCAAAAAGAAAAAAGAAAAAAAGAAAATCGAGGCGCGAAATTTTTAAATCCAAAAACCGGTAGTCCGTACTCCGATTTTCTGTATTTGGATTTTGGAAATCCGACCTTTTTTAATTTTGGTTGGTGGAAGTAGGCATGTGCCATAAATTGGAGGACCAAAAAATGAATATAAAAATCTGGAATTGACCAAACTCGGATTCAGGAAATCCGAGGCTAACGTAATTCGGATTTCAAAAATCTGAGTTACTTACGGACTCGAATTTTGGAAATTCGAGTTTAACGTGCTATAAAAGAAAAAAAATTCAGACAGTTCTCATTCGAGAACTGAGTTGGATTTTCTGTTTTTGCAGCTCAAACAAGGGCGAATTGGAGCTTTTGATGCATTCTTGCCTCTAGATACGTGGGAATCGTTATTGGAAAGAGGTTAGATTGCAAAACCATGTTATTTAGTTTAGTTCTGTGTTATTTTGATTGTTAGAATGATGTATGATAGATTAGGGTTTATGTTGATTGGTTGTTTGGATGTTTTAGATGTTGATTTTGAGGTTAGAGATGAGAAATCATAGTTATTCATGAGATATGGAAGTTGATTTATAAGTATTTTAGTATTTTATAGGTTTTTTGAATTATGAATGGAGTATGTATGATGTATTTGTTGATTTTGTTATTAAGAAATGATTAGATATTGATGTTTTTTTTTGAACGGTTATCAATGGCACGTAATGTATCGTACATGCTTAATTTGTTTCATACAAGCAAGTATGTGATAGAGAATGGTAACATCAACACTTTTTCGAATATGCCGGATGATGATTTGTTTGTTGAGGAAAGGTTGACATATGAGGGATTGATTAGTAAGATTTGTATGACACTTGGTTGGGATCCAGCACACGTGAAACTCCACCTTTCTTTGATTTTCAATAGTCCCGGTGGTAGGCGTGTAGTGAATATTAAGAATGATTCGTATGTAGAGTTCATGAACCGTGTAGATCCAATGTCATGTTTGGATTTATACATAGATTTGGAAGATATCAATCACGAAGAAAGAGAAGCGAGTTTGGAAAACAACGTGTCACTTGGTGGTTTTCCAAGGGGGGAACGTGCTAGTACTTCTCGAAACCGTGATGAAGAGGAGACACCTTTATTTGCACAAGATGACTACCGGGAAGAGTCGGATCCCGACTACATAGCTCCAAGTGAAAGCGAAGAAGACTGTGATGTCTGCGGAGAGAGTGATTTTGAAGAAAGTGATGATGAAAGGTTGGAAAATGAGGAAAGGGATTGTAATCCATGACCTCGACGCCATATATATAGTAAGATGGGGAAATGGAATGC